AGATATTGTATATATGTACTTTTTTCTTTTGTACTAATGACTGTCGTTCTTTTTTCTTTTGTGGTTTGTTTTTTTTAATTGAAAGAACAGAAACCAGTAATCTATATAATCTTAAATAATTAGATAACTGTTTGTAATAGGATGGCCTTTTATTTTGCGGTTGTCCAGTTTTATTACTGGACTCTGTACTGTAAGTGTAGAGTAGCACAAAAAAATAATATCGCAGTTTGTACTAACTTTGTTTATTAGGCAAAACTGACAAGTTTGCAGGAGCCACCATGGTATTTTGCATTAACATGCTCTAAAGCTATGAAGTTTAATGTGGATATATAACAGCCATAATAAAATGATAGACTATAGTGGCTTGGGGAAAAACATTAGTCGTTTATAACAGGAGTGCATATAAAGAGTCTACAGAGTGTCACTGAGAGCTCAGAAATGGCTTGTTTAACTTGTGGTCATGAAACTTTTCTGTAGTTCAGCGTTCCTTTTACAATGGGGAAATGTTTCACGTACCCATCCTGCCTTGTAACAAAGAAAGGAAGAGTGCCTTGTAGTTTAAGAAACATTGTGTTTGTGTTATCAACATAAAATTCTGTCTTAGAAAATCCATCAGCCACTTCTTATAACTCCTTTATTTTATTTTGTTTCATATAAACTCAGCCGCTGTTATTTCCTCTCACTTCTGAATCAGAAGACGTGCTCCAGAACACGATGCTTTAGATGATTAATGGTCCTTCTGATTTCCAGCCTCAAGTTGCTCATGGCTGGTTGATTCCCATTCTGTTACGTTCACTGTCCTTCAACTTAAGTAACTTTTGTATCTCAAGATAGACTTATTTGTAGATGGCAGCAATATCACTTCTTGGTCTTCATCTTACCAGACTGAGTGACCCAACCTCTCTTTTATATTCACTCACAGAATTTGATCTTTGACTTTTTCACCCAAGTCACCTTTTCTGATGTCATGTTTTCATTACCGTTATCTGCTCAAACAGGTATTAGTGAGAGAGAATTCAGTCTTATTTCCACTGGCATTGCTCACCCACCTACATCTACACTGCTTTCCTGGTCAGCCAGGGGCTCTGCTTCTAGAGGCCAGGTCCAAGAGCTGTGGGACCACAGTCGGGAGAAGTAGGACAGGCTGGGGAAGGCCTGGGAACATTTTGGTAATTGTTAAAGTTCATGAAAGGGGAATGGGTATGTTGGAAAGATGGAGAGGAGAACTGATGCAATTAACCTGAGCATGTCATGAGTTTACTGTTGTTCTCTGTGGCCTCAGTTGACTGACAGCTGGTGAGCTAATGACCAAAGGTTTATGCAGTGTCTCGAAGGAGCATCATGGTGCCCACTAACATCCCTGTCAATGCTTTTAAAGGAGCAACAGTATTAAAAGACCCTCTTGTAACAATAATGTGTTCTTTTGTGTGTGTATGCTGTAGCTGGTAATCCCTTAAACAGCAGTTCTCTGCCCAAATTGTGTGGGATGAGGTTACTTCACCACCTCTTCAGATCGGTGGTCATTCAGTTAGAAACTTGGGGACTTTTGTGATCTCATCTAGTAAGAGAAAGATGTAAACTGGTGGTATCCTGAATCTGTAGAGAGTGAAGGAGAATCTTGATAGGGACCATGTGGAAATAAATCAGACAACTAAGTGACAATCAAAAACTACTGAGCCTGACTCGCCCTTGGCTTGCCTCATTTCCTGCTGGGTTGTTGAAATTAAGACTGCAACAGCATATCAGCATATCAGAAACTCAGCTGTTACAAAAGAGCACCATTAAACTCCATGCAACTTCAAGCTACTTTAGGATTTGTTAATTGTCCTTTACCTACTCCCCATCAAATGAACTATCTTCGTTCTGTGGTTATTTCAGGGCAATGTAACAAATTAAAAAGGAAACTTCTCTGCCTTCTTCCACATTTTCAGCTTAACCCTAATTATTAGTATGACTGGTATGAAGAAACACCCCTAAAGTGAAACTGTGAACATGCACAATGCATGTCCCAGTTCTCACCCACGTAGGTTATGAGCAGTGCCCATTGATTTTACTGGCTATTACTCATAGTCTGCAACATGGGGTATTAAAGTGCTATATTGCCTTTAAGCAAGTCAGCTGGAGTGAATCCCTGTTCATCTGCTTGGGAGTGTTTGTGTTTTGCAAGCTTTTCCATGGCATCACTACATGCCATGTCAATCTACAGAAAATAGGAAACCATTGCCTCTTCCAGAGAACCACTAGCTTTGTTTAGCTTGTTTCATCAGTGAATCCACGGGAGAGTTTTCAGAGCTGACTTCCACTGTTCTTCGTTGCCTCTTGCTCTATTTCACTGTCTTAAACCTCCAAGTTGTTGGTCAATTAATGTGACAGGAACCCCGTAGGTTACGTTTGTTCATGGTAGACATGTCTTCTTTCATTAGTCCAGCCTTAACAGCTGCAGAGTTTTAATGTCTTAGCTACTGTATAACAGCCTGTTTGCAATGAAACGCTAAAGCAATAAAAGCGTCTGCATTGGGGGCGGGGGAGAGGCTCCTGTAAGAGCTGAGAGGGAAAATGTTAATGTACAAAAATTCAGATTTTCTTATCTTCTGCTGATTTTTGTTTCAATCCCTATTCATTCCTGAGTCTCATTTGTTTCCTTGTCTCCCGTAATTGTAGTGAGCTGAGTCCTGACCCTTTTGTTATTCATGTTGGATGTTCTGGCTAAAGGTTTTGCTGTCACTCTAAGGAATTTGAAGACTGCACACACATTTAAATGTTTTGGAAACAAAGTCTTGAATTCAAAAATCTAACTCTCAACAGTGATACATGAAAAATGTCTTTCATTAGCTAAGTTTATCACTGTTCATTAAGATTTCCCTGTAACTGTAATTTTTAATTGTTTTTATTTTTTTGCTGTATTTACCAAGCTTCCTTTGAATCTTGTCAGACAGTTTATCTTCCTAAATCAATAGGTTTGCCTATTAAAAATGTTTATGGTACTGCTTTGTCATCATTAAATATTCCTGCAAGTTAATTGGTAAGAGATTGCATCTTACTCATCCCATCTTTTAGGAAGCTGCTTCAAAGAGTTCCCCAACTAAGCCAATGCCTGACAGTTCTAATCCCAAGTGCCTAATATTTTTCCAGTGATATTCAATTTTAGCAATCTCATCTGACCATTAAATATTGAAGGCCAAAATTAATGATACATTTCTATAATTGTGCATAATTGTACTATTTATCTTTGCAGAACTTTTTACAAGAGATGCGTAAACAGGAATATTTCAAAATTATGGTGGAAATTAGAAAGTATTTTTTAAAATTACCTATATGAAATTTAAATATATCATTGCACATCAAATTTGGGTAAGCAAAATTATAGTGAACAGCCTAATATTACCCTAGGTGTCCCAGTTAGTTGCACAGACACGTGGTTTATTTGGGATGAAAGTAAGAATTCTTTACATTTATTAGAAATATTATTTAGCAGTTTCTTTTCTTTTGCATCAACACACTTTCAGCATAACATGAGCATGCAAACCCAAGAAAATAAATTAATTAGAATGCAACAGGGCACCTAATCTTTCTCCAATTGAAGTTAATGGGAGTTCTGCTTTGAATTTGAACTGAAGTTGAATTTATTGGAAATAGGATTAGGCCAAAATGTATATAGTCTTCTTGCAAATTTCTTTTTAGGAAATTTAATTATAAACAGGATAAAATGATAGGAAATTATGTTTCATGACAGTACAGGATTTCTGTTCATGCATAGAATTATGGTTATTAAAGCTAGAGGACATATGCATTGCTCTGTATTTGCTCCTTTCAGTATATAATTGAGAGCTCTGTCCAATCCATGTTTAAATCATCTTTAAAACAATGAAACTTCTGCCATTTCTCCTGGCCTGCAGTATATTCTCCCACAGGATGTTTCCTATGAAATTAAGCCTAGATTTTTTTTCTAAATGAAATGTTCAAGGTATAGATTATTAAAGCCTAACTATTAGAATGAAGGTGGCTATGGAAGCCTGAAGATTTCAGATATGGTCTCTTTGAACTCACAGTGCGGGGTGACTTTGTGTGCCTACATTGCATCAAAATTTCACTTAAAAGCCTAAGTCCAAAAAAACAATTGTCGGACCCTACTGCATTCAGTAGATGCCTAATCCGCTGGGTTCCTAAATTTCGTAGACATGGAAGGTTTCAATGTTATGATCCCCTGCATGCTTGATGAACATGTGCTGTGGGCATAAGTTCATACTTCTGCTGAAGGAAGACTCTCCGATCTCTCCCCTTTTGACTTAAATTCCAATCTCTGTGGTAGAACTGATCTTTCTGAAAAACACCCCTTAGAAAAATGGTGGTGGGAGGAAGGGCTTTAGTTTTGCATGTTGGTCAGTTGCCCAGTGTTTTTCTACTCAGTGTTGCACAGATGCTTGGATGGGCCTCCAGGAGAGGATGATACAAGCCGAAATAGATATTTGTAGGCAGGAAAACAGAAGGTCGTACTCTTTTGGTATGCATGGTGGGTAGCAGTTCAGCAAGCACTGGAAGCTGAGTTCTGCCTGTGATGCTTCTTTTGATGATGCTCAGCACCATGGAGCTTAATTGTTTCCTACACTGATACCCCTAAACTAGGTGTCCCTTTGCCTTTGCCAGTCAAGGGGCTAGACTTGACTGGTGTTTCAGAGTACAAATTGAGCTCTCCTTAACTATGAAAGAGTATAAACCTTTTCCAGCTTGATGGTAAAAACTGTTCCAATGTACAAAAAATTAATTCGCTCTTCAGCCCAAGCGAGTTCAGGCCTTCATCTTCTGTCTCTTAAGAAGACTGCCATCAACAGGGGACATGGGGACTTTTGAAGGAGATTAATTTTTCCCACTCTCCACTGAATAATGGACTGTACCCGTGTGGCTGTCCTTTTTTTTTTTTTCCCCCTTTTTTCTTTATTTTTATTCCCCCCCTGCCCCAGACAGCACCTGTATTAACTCACACCCCCTTTTCTCCTTCCCAGGTAGCCTCTCTCGGAGTCACCACATTCACACTGTGCGCCCTCTGCATCGACCGATTTCGTGCCGCCACCAACGTGCAGATGTATTACGAAATGATCGAAAACTGCACCTCGACGACAGCCAAGCTGGCCGTCATCTGGGTGGGCGCGCTGCTGCTGGCCTTGCCCGAGGTGGTGCTGCGCCAGCTGGCAAAGGAGGACCCCGAATACAGCGGCAGCCCGCCGGGGGACCGGTGCGTGGTGAAGATATCCACCACGCTACCTGACACCATCTACGTGTTAGCTCTCACTTACGATGGGGCAAGACTGTGGTGGTACTTTGGCTGCTATTTTTGTTTGCCTACCCTTTTCACTATTACCTGCTCGCTGGTAACAGCGAGGAAAATCAGGAGGGCCGAGAAGGCTTGCACGAGGGGGAACAAGCGACAAATTCAGCTGGAAAGTCAGATGAACTGCACAGTGGTGGCTTTGACCATTTTATATGGGTTTTGCATCATTCCCGAAAACATTTGCAACATTGTGACTGCCTACATGTCCACAGGGGTGTCTCGGCAGACTATGGACCTCCTCCATCTCATTAGTCAGTTCCTTTTGTTCTTTAAGTCCTGTGTTACCCCAGTCCTCCTTTTCTGTCTCTGTAAACCTTTCAGCCGGGCCTTTATGGAGTGTTGCTGTTGCTGCTGCGATGAATGCATCCAGAAGTCCTCAACAGTGACGAGTGACGACAACGACAATGAGTACACCACAGAACTGGAGCTCTCCCCTTTCAGTACCATCCGTCGCGAAATGTCCACTTTTGCCTCTGTGGGGACTCACTGTTAATTGACCTTAGGACTTTATTTCCTGTATCTTTGTCTTTTTTTTTTTTTTTTTTTAATACTTACTTTTCTTGTTGGAAGCAAAATGCAAGGAAAAAAAAAAAGATTATCGAAAACTACTCTGGAAACCAATTTGCATATTAACAGTCGTGCTTTGGAAAATGATTTGTTTGGTTATTAAAATGAAAGAAAGAGAAGGAGAGGCAGCACTCAGTTTTAAATCATGATATTTTGTATGGTGCTAGGATTTTATTGTTTGGGGAGGAGAATCCATATCAATCCACTTTTATTTAATTCCATAGTATTTTTTTGATAATCACTGTAAAATGATTATATAGACATTGTGGGTTTTGCAAGATGTTTCATGTAAAAGATGTGGTGGAAAGTATTTGAAGATAGTTTTAATCCAATTACTGTAAACTATTGTGAGAGGACTTGGACTTCAGAAAATTTATAAAGTAGCATAAAAATAAATGAGGTTTTATTCTTTAACTTCATTGTCAATCTGCATTTAACAAGGGCACCTACAAGTAGTATTAAATTCCTTTAATAAGTAAAAAAAAAAATTTTGCATAAAATAATTTAAATGGCCATATTTAATTTACCATAAATGCACTTACCCTTGGAGGCTATAATTACAGTGTCTAAGGAAGATGGTTATGCTGTTAGATTTACATGAGTGTGGGGGTTTTTTAATGTACATTACAAAGGTTCAGTGTACCTCATTGAAAATGTCCTTCTTAACCTACAGGTATACAAAACCTGAGTTATTTTGTACTTCTTACGAAGAAAGATTTGCTTTCCCACTAAAGTTTGTCTTGTGTGGTTTCAAAATCAAGTTTCTTTCCAATTTGTTACTGGTTTTACATTGAGCTTCTGTCCCCAGTCTCTGTATATATAGCTCTTACTGGCTTCAGGGAGAGTCCCATTGCAGAGCAAGGCATTCTTTTGCCAGAGGTTTGCTGACAATAAACGTGGGGGACTGAAACGTGGAGAGTTAATTCCTTCTTTTTTAAAAGGTATAAACACACTTGGACGCTTGGGGCTTGACCCGGAGCCCGTTGCAGTCAATGGAAAGATTTCCATCAATTTCAGAGGGCTTTGGATCAGACTGGCATCTCCTATTTATTCTGGGATATGTAGCATGAATATTAATCACGGGGGCTCTGTATACTGGTTATAAATCATGCTGCTCTCACAGAGACTGCTATTCACTAGCAGCTCACAGCTCTGAAGCTGTTTTTGAGAACCACGGTGTGTTTTGGTGATGGCTTCTTGCTGTCCGCAGAGTTATTAAAATGAGGGTATGTCAAGACTGCCAGCAACAGCGCGATACAGTAAAATCTCAGGTTGTTATAAGCAAGCCGGGTCGGAGACTGGGAAGTGCCTATCTGTACCAGCTTATGTGCCCCACTTCTTGGCTGCAGTAGACAGGCTGTTCTTGGCAGGCAGGCCGGCTCATATTTACACTGGGCAGCGGGCTGAAGCATAGACACATGCTAAGGATCTGAATTTGTTACAATTAGCTTATATTTTAATACTAATTAAATAAATAATACAATTGCAATAGTATGTGCAGAAGTAAAATTCCATGCATTTGTCCTTTGAAATTAACGACTGTAACTGATGTAGTCTTACTTTCCGATACCTGCCTCTAAATATGTTAAAGAACTTGCTGTAATTTCTGGAAAGGAGTCTATGTTTAGTAAATTTAAACTTAGTATGTTTAATCTTTGTATCTACTTGGGCGAGCAGCATTTCTTCTTTTTCTTTACCATTTTAACCTATAACAAGTTCAACTGAAAAGCAGTTGAATTAATCTGAATATGAATCCAAATATATATATATATATATGCACTTGAGTTCTTTTTCTGATTTTTGATTCAGACATTGGACCCTAGCAAAGGAATTTACTTTAAGCACAGGCCTAAATTTAAATATGTGTTTCTGTTTAGGACTTGCTAAAGTACCTAAGTTTTTAAAATAATTCTGTAAGATGGTCAATCACTTCTGAAGATGGGGGAACTGTCCCTTCTTTATAAACCCTTCACTGACTTCACATTGCTTGATTACATTCAATAAACTATGAAAGGTATTAAAGAGAAAAGATAAAAACAAAATCTCCTCACTGTGGTGCCTGTGTCTCCTCAAATACATATTCCCATCATTACACTTTGATTTGTACTATTCTTTTTTAGGTGCCTCCTGCTTGTGTGGTGGAGCATTCTCTAGCCTGGTATTCAGTGGCGCTGCTTTGTACCCAGTGCAACCTTGCCTCTTCTGCTGCTGAAAGAGCATTTTTCACAGTTATTTCTCCCCCTTGCCTTGGACCTCCATAGTAATTGGACATGCAAGACACCCTTTTATCCTGATTCGTTCTCTAAATTGGTTAAACAAATCCCACATCCGCAGGTTTTCATTGCTGCAGCCATTCTGATGCAGGCGTGGCTTGTTAATGCATTTAAGTGTCATGATAAGTGATTCCTTCTGTTAAAGGTGGGGTACTGCATTGCTTTTCTTCCTACTTTTGGGATTGATGCTCTGAACTCTTGAAATTTTCCTGGTGTTTACTTTTCTTACTTTCTTTAATATTCTTAGAAGCCATTTCTGTCTGTTCTGAATCAAGTTCTGTAAGACCTTTGTCTGTTGACAAGAAGGCATTTAATGGACTGATGAATGAAGATTTGGAAATGTTTATGGCAAGGATTTAATTCTTTTGTATAAAATAGAGAAACATGCAGAGCATGGTGATCAATGTAAAAGAAGAGCAATGGAATGGAAACTCAGACTGTGAGGTTGGAAAGCCTCATACCTCTCAGGTAGGTAAACCTTTAATACATTAACACTTATCATCCTAGCCCTGGTCCTATTAAGAAATTAAAACCCATAAAACTCTAGTATGAGTTCCAGTATCTCCTATGAGATCATGTTTCATGACCTGTATCAAAAATATGATCTTTGTGTAGGCCAAAGTACAAATGATAAATTATTGAAAAATATTGGTCAGTTAAATCTCTTATTTTACCCCTTCCAAGATAAATTCCTGCATCCAACCTTAAATAACTCCTGCCCTTAAATGACCTCAGAGAGTTGCTCAGCTCCTGTTCTGTCATGGGGATCCAGATATAAGCTTCTACAGCTGCTGCTCCAGCAGCTCTGGGAATGGCTCCTAAAGACAATGCAGAGTTTTCCAAGCACGTTGTCCTACATCTTCTCATAAGAAATTGTATGATGTTAGGCTACGTGGTGAGACTGTCATGTTATGCTCAGGGCACTCAGAGGCAAACTAGATTCTATGAAATGTGAGTTGCTATTGAAACTCTGAGTAGCTTCTCCAAATTCATTAAACAACAAGAGTATTCAAAACCTCTCCTAGGATCTGTGAGCCATTGTCTTAGGCACAGTACAAATACATGCAACTTGCCCTATGTGCGCCTAAGTGCTGCTGATGTTCTCAAATACAGCACTGAGCTGCTGCTGGGCTTTTTTGCCAAGTGACATTAACAAAACTCACAAGCCACTTGTGTCGTGCCCTTGTTACCGTGTTGGAATTAAGACTGAAAGCAAAACCTGCTCAAAATGAGTCTGTCCTCTTAGGTGGGCCCAGCCTTGTGTGTGTATGGAGAGCACATCTAAGGTGGCTGCAGACTGCCAGTAGATACAGGCTTAGCATAGCAGCAGCAGCATATATATGTTTTTGCATGTTCTGATGAATCAAAAATTTAGGTTCTGTTATTTCTAGGGTAGAAGAGATAGATTCAAAGTCCTGCTCTGCTTAATTTATAGCTGAGATTTGAATTTGGTAGTTCAAGATTCCATCAGAAAGGCATAACCACTGTGGTAATAGATATGCTGGTGAGGAGATTTTTACCTCTCCTATTGTAGTTGTCCCGATGTTTTTGGTAGTTAAATACTGAAGTAGGACCTTCAGCCCCAGTACCAACACTGCTGACCTAAGCCACTCTGCTGTAGAAACAATCTCTTGTGTTCACTCTCTGGCCCATTAAATGTTTCTAAGGGGAACAGCTACTGTCAGAGAAGTGGAGAAACCATGACTCGAGTAGCTGGCAGGTTGGCTGCTAAAGTGCTCAGGTGAGAAATGAGCAGTTTTCAAGTGCCGCACTAACCCACACATTTGAACCCAAGCCTGTTTTGGAATGTGTATGCTACCCAGGGCCTTACTGATTCTTCTCTGGTAGAAAGTTGTGGATTTTTGTGTCTCCTGGATGGGGAACTCCCCACCTAACTGAGCAAATTGTCTGTTTCAGGTGACTAATGGGAGAGTAGTCACAGTGGGTGAGCTTAAGCCGAAGGAAATCTGATGCCTTGTTCTTCTGCATTTCTCTCTTGCCCAGATCTTCTCCACCTGTTAGTTTCTGAGGCTATTTCTGCAGATAAGGATATTTTGCAGGCAGTGTGGCAGCACTCCTGAAAGTTAAGCAGGGCAATGCTGGGCAGATGCCCTCATACACACCTTTGAGACTCTAGGCTGCAATCCCTCTGCCTCAGAAAGATTATAGCACATATGGATGAGGTTGTGTATTACCTTTATTCTGGATGGGAGAACCTATGAAGTGAACTGCCTGCAGGAAGCTGGCTCACCTCAGCTCCGTAAGAACCTAGACCTAATGCTTTGCCCAGCTTACAAAGGTAGACTGGGTCCTTGAAGTAGATCTTCCATGTCCTAGCTTCTTATGTCTTCATCCTGAGAATATCCTTCTTCTTCTGCAAGAAATATAGAAATATAGAAATATAATAAGTGACAAGTAAGGTCCATTTTCCTAATAACACTGAGAAATGTGATTAGGAGGAGTTATATCAGGCATTTTCTGTGATAATGCCTCTTTTTTTTCTTCTTTCCAACCTTCCTTTTTCATAGAATCATAGAATTGTTTAGGTTGGAAAAGACCTTTAAGATCTTTGAGTCCAACTGTAAACCTAACACTGCCAAGTCTGCCACTAAACCATGTCCTTAAGCACCACATCTTTTCCCTGAAAAGCTCAGCCAAAGTCAATGTCAGCAGATGATGTGAATCATTAAAACTTACAGTATCCTACACGCACTTGCTCATACTTCAGGAACCGTCTTTTTTCACTACTGCTTTGTATTTGATGGAGTCATTTAATACCTATGTCAGAGTTTCAAAGGCTGGGTATGTTTTGTAGTGAATAAGAAACAATGAAAAAAGACACGGACTGAGACACTCCAGAACACCCAGACGTCTCTACTATAGAAACACTGGCTCATGCTGAGGGCTAAAGACTCATCAAACAACCAGGAGGACACCTGTATTTAACCATGTCCTGCATTTAACCCCTGAAATCCAGGCTATTTGCTTTCCCTGTGATACAATTTGGTAGGTTTAATTTTTGATTTTTAGGCAATAAAAGTGGAGAAAAAGACTCCCTGGCATTTTCAACGTGTCCATGACAGCACTGAGAGCTGGTGTCTCCTGCTGGTGACGCATTCCCTATGTCGTGTCACCGGGAGTACCAGGATCCATATACCTGGAGCTGTCCCAGCCTCTTTCAAAAATGAGGTCGAAGACTTCTGTCTTTGTGCACTTTAGCTTTAGTTTTGCATCACAGCGTCTTACTACCAAAAAGTAGAAGACATTATCCTAAATGAAATGTTTGTGGGTTTTTTCTTCTACTAGAAATTTGGCCTTTCAGAATTACAGAACTCTGTTTACAGTGTTTAATAAAAGTGCTTGTTGCAGGATTATGAATTAAGGTAGTAGATCAGTTATGGCTAAAGGGAAGGCTTTTATTTTGCTTCATGGCTTTTTTCTTTTTTATCCTTTATTTTTATGTGATTATAAAGTTAATGCTTTTTTTGTTGTTTGGTTTTTTGGGGAGTTTGTTTGTTGGTTTGTTTTAGGGTTTTTTTTCCCCCTGAAAATGCAAAAACCCCACAAGCACTCATTCTTTTGCTAGTTAGAGAAATTCCGTCCTTGGCTTACATCAAGTATCTTCATTTACATCCACAGTGAATTAAGGCCATT